ACCACTAGGGGGTCTGAGGCTTAGAGTTGAGAGTTTAGGGTTTAAGCTTTGGAGTTTAGGGTTGAAGGCCTAGGGGGGTTCAGAGGTTGGAATGCTCAGGATCCAAACTGTCGGGATGACGCAGAAGTGCGGTGGAAGTGGGTCGCCCGCATCCCCTATGCATTCTTAAAATGCTGCGCTGAAGGCATCGCCGAGGGACTCTGAAGAATCGAGTTTCCACCACACGCTTCCTGACCCCATCAACGTTCCCGTTTGCAGGGATCTAGAAGGCTGGCGGAACTCAGAAATCATGCGGCAGTTTCAGGAAAGGAACTCTCACTCTAACTTTTTTCCGCTGAACGCCTGGGCAGGCAATGCTCTGTCTTTGTAAAGCCCTTCCAAATCCCTTATGGAACACGGCCGGTACATATCCCGCATAACAAATTTCTAGAATCCTCATAAAGTCTGCACCCCAAACCCTGAAGCCCCATGGCCGAGAACCGTCGTGCAGCACGTATTTTAACCCCTCAGGAATATTGCTACCGCCCTTTGACTCAACAATAAGTCTCTCTGCGCTTTTTCATACTCCCTTTCGGTTATAGTAAAACAACCATGAAAGTGATTCTCAGGAGAAGTCCTGCCTTAGCATAGGGGCCCGAATAATTGGAGTCGTGCGTGGAGGTAAATTACGCTGTACTTGTATTAAGGAGTCCGCAGGTATTGCTCATGATAGCGACCTCTGCCGTAATCCCAGCAGTAAGTGTTTTTGTAATAGAAAGTCTTCGACTTGAGTCCTCCTGCGAGTGCCTCTTCAGCGCATCGCGCCCGAAGCAAAGCTTCTCCCTGACTGTACAGTCTTCTTTGCTCGACCCTTGCGCCTCGGCAGAAGGAAGGATTACCATAAGGGGGTCCCTTATTTCAAGGGTTCAGGGTTTAGGGTAAGGGTTCCCTTATACAAGGGTTACCATAGGATTACCATAAGGGGATTGGTTTAGGGGTTTAGGGTTTAGGCATAAGGGGATTGGTTTAGGGGTTACCACGAGAGTTCGTTCAAGGGCTACTATCAGTGACCCTTTCGTGTCGAGAAAGGGAAGGGCTGTCCAACAAGAGGTGCGAAAAAGGTTATCAGACGGGTTACTATAAGGGCTACCACTTCGGAAGAAGGGCTTCAGGATTTCTCTCAAAGGATATGCTTTTTGTCATTTTGATATCAGTGTCTAGAATCGCCTTTGTAGGCACTGTCAGGGTTGAAGCTCTCAGTTTTCAGGGGCTAAAGCTTCGGGTTCAATGTTTGGGGTTTAGCAGTTTTTGCTCTATGCACCAAGGGGTTCAGAGCATCAGGGTGCTGGAGGAGAGTTTGAGCTATGTAGGGTTTCGGCTTAGGGTTTAGCGTTTAGGAAAGTCGGGTTTCTGGCTCAGGGTTGGGGGTGTGGGGTCTACTTAGTAGATGGCATATGCTCTAGCTCCGGAATCAAAACTCCGAAAAGCACCGAAATCTTTGTAGATGCCTTGTCAACCCTTGGTTATAAAACCTTTACATGTCTTAATCAGCTTCCTACATGATTATAGTACCCTTATAGTAACCCTTGCAGTAACCCTTTAACGGAACCCCAAGAAAAGATCACCCCGTCGAGGCACCCTTTTCACCCCATTTACGTGCTTTGCGCGCAACTCGAGGGTTGTCAAAATTAGGGTCGCTTTTTTGGGTACCCTAAATGATAGGTGCCGTATTAAAATCAGGACCCAAGCAGGGACCCTAATTTGACAACCACCCATGAGGCTTTTCAGGTGTCACAGGGTTCTAAAAGGACTCTACAAAGGTTTTAGGACTCTATGGGTAGTAATTTCATGTTGAGAGTAGCAGGGACGGCAGCAATGAGCCGCCAGTGAGAACGACAAGCGCCAACATCAATCGCAGGAGCAACAACAATAGTAACAAAGCTCATGGCATGAATCGTGGTAGGAATCATGGCTATAATGTAGAGACCTCCATAATTAGAACACGGTGTTGGGGCCCAGTATACTACAAATACAATAAGGAACCCGCAGTACAGCATAGGTATTATTTAAGCCCCATTGGTAACTACACCAACCGTGCGTTGTGCATGACCGGACCACTTGGGGTGCTGCCTTGGCGATGGTGTGCAGCACCCTGCACGCACACCTGATGAAGGCTCTCGGGGGCTGCCCTGATCGGGTTCCGTAATGAAGGAATAAATCAACAACACATCGGGCTGTGTAAGTAAGGAATAAATGAACAAAAACACGAATGATAGTAATGCCAAGAAGAAACTGATAGTCAGGAAGAGCCGAATGCCCAGGGAGCCCCAGACCTTTTACTGGAAGAACGCGCATCTAAATTACTGACGTGTATCTAATTTGGGGTCCTACACTACTAAGGTACTTTACAGGAAACCCCTCAAGGGATCTACTTTTTGGATCCTTCCGGGGGTCTGGAAGCATATTGAAGTCTCTGGATCGTGTCTTCCAGCCTGTCCGTTCCGAACTGCTACATGGGGAGTTTTCCAAATCAGGGTCCCTTTTATGGCACCTTTTACGAGGGTGCCGTACTATTTTGGGAACCTACAAAGAGACTCTAATCACAGACGAGTTTCGGGCTTTAAGTGCTCTTTAAGTGCGCTAGGGCTCTTGGGTTTTTTTGGGCTGCCGAGACTTCGGGGTCTCTGCTGCAACATCGATGAGTCCTGAAGCCGAGCATTATGTGGGAGTTTCCGAAAACTAGGGGTACCTTGTTTGGGGTCCTCATTATAAGGATCCTGCTATTCAGGGCACTATATGAGGGTTCCCTATTTTCGGAAATTCCCATGTAGGATAGTTTAAGTGTAAGGGGATGAAACCATTACTGTATATTTTCGTGCAGTTAAGGGGCTACAAGGAGGGATACTATTCCTGATTTTTTGAGGCCCCTGTTTTTGCTATATGCTCATGCTCCTGACTTCAGGTCAGCAAGCTCTAATGATACGGGTGCCCTTCTCCTGTTTGTCAGCTTTCGTTTCCCTAACCCGCAATCCTAAAGCCGCACGCTTGACGCCTGAATAAAGAGCCACTGTCTCTTCCCTTGTAGCCCCAATATCTGAACTCTGATTCAAAGCACCCGTGAACTATACTACTCCCATGCAAAATCCACAGACTGCAGGCCTGAGTTTCAGGTTTATGGCTATATGTAAGGTAACTTTGTACCATAAGAATGTAATTCCAAATTAGGGTACCTACGTATAGCCCTACTTAAAAGTCCCATGATTCTCCAAGTACGGAGTGGGAAGTCCCTAAGCCCTAAACCCGAAACCCTAAATCCTAAATCGAAGTCCCACCCCCCCCCCACCTTGCCAAACTCAAAACCCTGGAAATCGGTGAGGTCTTCCTCACGCCAACCTCAGGCGTAGGGTTAATGGATTTCGGGTTAAGGAGTTTAGGTCATTTAGGGTTTAGGGATTTAGGGGTAAGGAGTATAGGGTTATTTAAGGTTTAGGGATTTAAACATTTTAAGGTTTAGGGATTTACGGCTAAGGGGATTAGGGTTCGGGGATTTAGGATTTAGGGAGTTTAGGGTTATTTAAGGTTTAGGGATTTAGGGTTCTTGGGTTTAGGGTTATGGGGTTTAGGAGCTTAGGGTTAGGGATGCAGGTTTTAGGGATTTAGGGTTCAGGGAACTCTCAACATGCCAATGCCGGAGATCCCTCTCAAGTTTTGGCCTCTGCGGAGTGGGTTTTTAATTATGCTCAGGGGCATCGCTCTTTCGGGTTTAGGATTTTGAAAGTCTTGAGAATTCCGTCGAAGACTCTTAAGGTTAGGATTTGGGAAAGGCCGTTTGAGTTGAGGATCCTGAACTTTAGGTTTGACGGGCTTAGGGTGTAGGGGGCCCGACTAGATGTAGCTCTTATGAACCTGAGTACTGCGTGAGGACCGAGTTTGAGCAATGAACACCCTTGCATCAGACTCCGCCTTCGCGGATAAGGCGAGTTCGTACGTAGGACTAGAGTATGACTTACACAGGGATTACAGGAGCATCCGGATACTAAGTCTTCCGACCCCCGGGCTTTGTTTCTTCCACGACCAACCAAACTAAACATGAGGCTGGTTTTCCCTGGGCGAAGGTTTGAGGACATACCGTGACCCTGGCAGAACCCGATAACCAAGGAGAGCAGCCGCTGAGTACGCTGAAGGAGGTCTACAGGATCTGCTTTTTCGGTTGGGAATGCAGAGTCGTCCGCCCAGGTTGCATCTGTGCTCTCGACCATGGTATCGCCTTGAGCCTCGAACGGGCCAGCCTGGGCATCGAGTTCGAGCTGAAACCCTAAGCCTGCGGCGGAGACGTGCTCCTGTATTTTATGCAGCACACGCGAGTACACGTACGCATAGACCAAGTCTGCCCAGCTTTCTCCGTGCCCGCCAAGCTGGAGCATACGACCATCGGAGAATCTGGTGACGAACCACGTATGAAGGTGTATGTCCCTCACAATCTTCCCAAAGGCTTCGGGCATACCCGACTGGGCCATCATTCCGCCCGACGTGATGGTCTCGAGTAAACTGAGTAGGTCCTCCGCGGCAGCATCGGACAAGCTAAAGCGTCTGAAAAGGAGGTGCACTGTGCGATCCTCGCGGATATCGCCACATGCGATTTCCCTCACGATTCTATAGTAAGCAGCGTGAAGCCCCACAACCCTAAACCCCTAACCCCAGAGCGACAGATGCACAAGACTTGAACCGCTCAGGCCTAAACCCTCAAAGCAACAAAGTCGAAGCTGATCACAGGGTTTGAGGTTTAAGGGTTTAGGGGTTGGGGTTTAAGGTTTCCGGGTTTAGGGTACAAGAATCACAACAATGAGGTTATGAATGAGAACCGACTACTGACAACCACAATGCTCATATAATAATGACGATGGTCTTGGTAGTGAGGTAGTCTCCGTACGCAACTTTAACAACAGGGGAATTAGTGTATGAAAGTAACAAGCCACAGTAATGTTCGCAACATCGCAGTCCGGGGCCAGGGCGTCGTAAAATCAAAGATATCGCACCACAGCCTGACGGAAGTTGGGGGCGCAGATTTAGAAGTTGGGGCTAATATAGGGGCCTTAATAATCAGAATAGGGTTTTGGGGTATATTATTACTGTACTCAAAATAAGGAACCCCCAAAATAGTATAGGTGATTATTGAACCCTTGAGCAACGACTTGCGGCTTATGGGGACCTACTAACGCGGCGTTCTCGGAGAATGCTGCACCTTAGGGTTTGGAGTTGGGGCTGGTGGTGGTTTAGGGAACTGGGCTTTTAAGTAGCACTTCTATTTCATCGTGGTTCCTCTAAGAAAAAGGTATTAAAGTATCGTACTTCAAAGCGCAGGGAAGCTTTAGGGAGGGTTTCGGGCTCCGGCCGGCACGGGTGGGGTTTATCCTCCGACAGCACCTGCAGGATCAAATAATGTAGGAACTTGATTGAGAAACTCTGGGCCTATAACCCCGACATAGTAGGATTCATATAAGAAACCCTTAAAATTTCTTAATCAGGTTCCTACATTAGACTTCGCAGTAAGGGTGCGGGCCTCAAGCACAGGTTGCGAACACATCAGGCCAAACTCGTATCCAACACCTTATCTATGTACAGAAAACTGTTGCAGCTGTGTAGGTTTCTTCGGGGATTGGGACACTCCCCCATGCATACCGACCTGTAAACACACTCGCAGCAGTTTGTATGCAAACATGCCTCATATGTACATGCATGCGTACTTACTGCGCCTTGCTTCGCGCAATACGTCCGTACGTCAGCCGCACGTAAGCGTCACTGTGTCTTCGGTCAAGTCCTAAAACTTCCGAACTGTTAGCTCCAAGCCTCTCCTCGCCAAAGACTCCCAACCTCCTTCCTATCTGAACACCGATCACTCGACTACTGACATGATCATGGGACTTTGTAACTTGGATACAAATAAGGCAACTATACGCATGATTACTGATAAACCCCACTCAACGTACATATGGGCGGTTGTCAAAATTATGGTCCCTTTTGGGATACCCTAAATATTAGGTGCCGTACTACATTAGGGACCCAAAAAGGGACCCCTGTTTAGACAACCACCCATATATCCTGACTTACATAAACCCTCATAGACCCGGCCCCACACCCCACCTGGAACAGCATCTCAGGAAGCTTGCTGAAGATGGGGTCAGAGCCCTTCTCCCGTAGCAGGATAACCTTCGGAAAGAGGTCTTTGTTTTGGGTTTCGGGTTTCGCGTCGCTTCTTAGGGTTCATAAGGAGTTTACAGAGGTTTTGTAGCAGAAAACTGATGGGTTTCATGTTTCAGGTCAATAGAAATCTTGAGCCACAAACCCGACATCTAAGTAACCATGAAACTGAAGCCCCTTTATGTGCATAAAAGCTTCATAAGACACATCTACAACCCTAGAACAACTCTCATCAACTGTCTCTCTGCAATTCACACAACCCCTGATCAACCCCCATGAAACGTTGTAATTCAACGCGCAGTCCCCATACGACCACTTTCGGAGACTCTCTCCCAGATCCCCGGGGAGGATCTAAAACCTAGATACCCTAGTTTGGGACCCTAACTACTAGAGGGATCTACTTTGCAAAGGTCTGGGCTGGACCCTGAGGTCCAGGCGGCTCTGCGTGTCCACCAACGCTCTTCGCGGATCAGCCTCAAAGTTCACACAAACTTCGATATCCTTTAAGTAAGGAACAGACCTTGAATCATATGAGTTAGGATCCCTACTGTAAATTTCGGCATATATACCTGAAATATTCTTCAATTGAGGGATATTGGAGTCTCTGGGTTTGGAAGTTCGGGATGGATCTCTTCCTTTTGGGTTCCTAATCTTAACGTTCGTTTCAAGGATCCTCAAGGGGGTTTGGTTTTAGGGTTTAGGGTCACTGTGGCGAGCTCTTAAACGGACTGGGTCGAGGGTTTAAGATTCACCATAACCTACTTTTTTAGGGTTCATGATAGAAATCATAATCTAAGGGGTTGTGGTAGTTTAAGGTTCAGGACTAAAACTTTCTTTAGAATCCCGAGCCTCCGAAAGGGCGCAGAACCCTAGCAAAAGCGCTCAAAACACCAAAGCCCAAGCCCTCAGACCCTGGACCCCATCCTCCCTAGAACCGTGAAGAAGCTTCCTAGAATCCGTAAGCCCTAGAACCCCAAAATCCCAGGCTCTAAAGCTTTGTGTAAGGCTGACATGTCAGCACACACCAAGCATCTAAACCCTAGCCCTAGACCTAAAACCCCAAAGCCCCAACCCCAAACTCCCCTAAACCCCTAAACTCCCCTAAACCCCTAAACTCCCCTAAACCCCTAAACTCCCAAACTCCCCAAAACCCCCAAACTCCCCAAAACCCCTAACCGAGCCGAGGCGCAACACCTGAAGCCCAGGGGGCCGACAGCCGAAGCAGGGGCCTCTGCCAGGTTTAGGAGGGCCTTTGCTATAGGGTTTGGGGTTTAGGGGTTTAGGGTTTAGGGTTTAGGGTTTGGGGTTTAGGGGTTTTGGGTTTAGGATGATTTAGGATGTACTTAGGGTTTAAGGGTTTTAGTGTTTAGGAGGAGGGTCTTTAGGGATTGGATTTTTTCTCTTTTGCAGGCCGTCTGGTGTATGGTTTAGGAGGGCGTCTGCCGGGTGGGGTTTAGGATTTCGGATTTAAGGTTTGGGGCTAGAATCTCTTCAGCATTTTTTGGAAGGCCTTTTGGTTTGTATGCGTTTAAGGTTTAAGATTTCGGACCTAGGGTTTAGGGTATCAGGTTCAGGATGTAAGGTTTCGGATTCAAGGCCTAGGGTTTATTTTTCTTTTGTATTTTAAATTTTTTGGAGGGTCTGCCATGTCCGTTAGGGATGATGGCTTAAAATCTTTTTGCGGGTTCAAGGTTTAGGCGCTTGGGCTTAGGATTTTGATCAAGCATTAAGAGCAAGGGTTTCGGAAGAATCCAAGCATTGGGGTTTAAGCTTTGTTGAGGCATTAGGGTGAGCTGTTAATGGTTGGGAGCTCGCCGTGTTGAAGCTACTCGGAGCAGCCGTTTGTGCTCGGTAGGGCTTTCACTCCAACCGGCTGAGGCCGGACATCAGGGTTTGTGTAATTGGATGTCGGCTCGCCGGATCCGCCGGCAGAAAAGCTATAGGGACCCTTGAGATCGTGTCTTGAGACAGGCAAGCCCACAGCGCCGGCAATGTTGCACGCTCTTAGCCGGACCGGCACCCGGTGCCTGGTGCTAGCAGCCCTGACCTAACCTGCGCTGGCAGGCCGCGCTTGCTACCGGAATTGTTGCTGTCATAGCTACAACACATGCTTTTGCTCATATCAGCGTTGCTGTCTTTTTCCACTTCGAGCATGGTCATTGCTCCTACTCGCTATACTTGCTAAAATAAAACTGTATAGATTATTCCTGCTTGTCTTCTTCGTCTTCGTTTTTTGGTGCTGTCTGTGTGTTTGCCGGGCTCAGCCGTATTTTGGGAGCTCGCCTTCAAACCCTAAACTCTAGCCGCTAGCCCCTAAACCTTATGCAGGCTCCAAGGCAGAAAGACAATATCCTGCACTACCCGACTCAAAGGGTTCAGAGACCTAGGACTCTAACCCAGAGACTCCAATATCCTGTAATTGGGGAAGATACCTTACATTGCAGTAGAGATCCAACTATGAATTGAGGTATGTTCCTTACTTAAGGAATATTGGAGTCTCTGGGAACCCTAGGTAGGCTGCTTATGGCAAGGTCGAGCGCTGAATAATGTGAAATCCAACAGGACATTACTATTTCTATTAATAATCGTGGTCGTTTGAATTCTTACTCGTGTATGTAAGCCCATTGTAGGTGCCTGTAATCCAACTTGGTACGTCGCCTCAACCTGTAGGTAAACCTAAACTGGGCATGATCCGGCCTGCCAAGTGATCGGATGGGCGAAAACCTTTCTCATCCCGGCCTGAGAGGGCATCACGCACAAGGAAACTCGGTTTAGGGCTTTGGAGTTCTGGATTCGGAAACAATATATCAGGATGTTTGTCATTAGTGGATTGTGTGTTCTTTGGGGCAGCCAAGTGCTGGAATTGCCGCCGGGTTTTGTGCACGCCACACACCCCCGCATCGCCTTCGCATGAGATCGCCGAAAAGCGATGAATCGGCCGACACCAGGTTGTCCACCAGGGATTGGAGGCTGAGCAAGGCTTCTGCAGGATCGAACACGCGCATCCAAACGCTATGCAGGCCCTGTTTAACCATGGACCATAGAACAGGGTCCAAGGTTTGTGGAAACCAGAACGGAAACCATAAACAACCACACCAAAACCTGAACCTAAATCAAATCCTCTCCGCAATACATAAACACTAAACCCAAACAAAAGCCGATAAAAAGGGCCTCAACAATTAGTACAGGCTTTTGAGATATATGATATATTGTACCCGAGGAATAAAATTGGTAACCATTCAGGCTTTCATACTTGAAGCATCATAGGACTTGGTGAGTGAAGATACAAATACCTTAATTAAGATTGTAAGTAATGCACAGAATTGACCTGATATGTAATGCTAGTTACTAAGTCCCATGGTCCTTTAAGCATTGTGTGTTGGGTACCGGCCCCCATTCCGTAACAGTTTGATAAGAAAAATACATGTATTTAACTTTGCCCTTCATATGACCCCTGATATGGTCTGTTACAGACTGGGGGCAGTACTGTAGGGGCCTTAATAATTTGAAAAGGGTTGAGGGGGGTATATTATACAGAACTATAATAAGGAGCCCCAAAACCCTATTCCAATCATTACGACCCCTAGACTAAAAACCCTTATATTAGCCCTTATACTAACCCTTATAAACCCCGGTTTTTTGTTGAGTTGTAAGTACTACAACCCCGGTTAGGATCCCTTTTAGGGTACCTAGAACTACCTTTAATACCTACTTACGAAGTCCCCCGACTCTCCAAGTAACCCTTGTAGACCTTTCTAATGATTAAGGCCCCTCGAGTAACCCGGTTTTAAATCCTTCCAAGCCCTGCTGAGGCAGAGGTGGCGGCGCGTGGGATCTGCCCCAGCGTGCAGCAAGGTCTTGGCACGCAGGGCATTTCAGGGTTGGTAAGAATCATAGCAATCAAAAGACAAAAATAATCTATCATAACGGCCATGAAAACCGTAATCATAGTAACCCTCAAAATAAGAGATAATCAACAATAAGTCTATCATATGAATCATAAAAGCCGAAGCCGACGCAACCATAATACTCAAGATGATAATTCACATTCATCACAAAGAACAACGGTTTAGGTTTCGGCCTTGGGATCTAGGTTTGCATGCTTGGGGGCTTGGACTTGGGATGTTGGGGCCTTGGCTTTCGGGTGTTGGGCCCAGAACCCGTGTGCAAGACTTGGGAGTTTCCGAAAATTAGGGGCACCTTATTTTGGGGTCCTTATAACAAGGACCCCACTATTTAGGGTGCTATATTAGGGTCCCCTATTGTCGGAAACTCCCACTTCTTCCGTAGCCCTGCAAACGAAGGAGTGGAGGATCTGTGTGCTTACGTACGCTGCTTCGAGGAAGGACTCACCGGGAACAGTCGTGCATCCTACATTCAAAGCTGGAGTCTTTATTGCAGTCACTATGGACCACTATGATCACTGCGATGAAGGCTTTCCAATCGGATCCGAACGGTCATTCCTTCATTGAGGTAAGAAAGTATCTGAAGAATAGGGTCTTTGTACAACCTTACTCACTTACTCCCATAACCCCCAACTCTAAACCCAAGGGCAATGAAACTAGCTAAACACCCCATGGATAGGTACCTCTCTAGGATGATGATGGAAGGTAGAGGATGGTTCTCCCATGCCACATATTTACTGTGCACCCTACAAAATAACTCAAAGTCTGTAACGCCCTAGACGAGTTTCAACATGCAAAACCCTATGCAGTTTTGTAAGTACACCCCTACCAATACGAAAGTCTCTATCAGGCCTCATAACAACCCAACATCCCCTGAGCCCATAAATCCCTGAACTACCCTAGACCTTCAACCAAAACCCGGCAGTACTTGGAGGGTCGGGGGACTTACTAAGTAGTTATTTTAGAGAGTTATAAGTACCATAACCCCAATTAGGATCCCTTTTAGGGTACCTATAAGTCTACTTACTACCTACTTACTAAGTCCCCCGACCCTCCAAGTAGGGAGTCTTGGATACTCAGAAGAGCCTTTTGGAGGCCTGTATACGATAGATGACATAGTAAGTGTAAATGAAAACTACTACGACTTACTATAGGGGCCTTAGTAATCAGAATAGGGTTTTGGGTTGAATATCTTAACTTGTACTGGCATTATAGCAAGGAGCCCTCAAAATAGTACTGGTAATTACTTCGGCCCCTGTCTTAGCCTGTCTTACGCACACCTCCCCAATGGTAGGCGGCCGAGTCTGGGCATCAGAGCCTCGACCAATGTCCTGGCATCCTGCTCCGATGCCAAGATCGTCCTGCACGGGATGGCATTTAGGGCACTACAAACGGCTTCGAGGTTTAGGGCCTGGGGATTTCGTACACCTGACAACTCTTTCTTGGTCTACGTCAGCTCCACGGCGCTGGCTGGGCTGCCGCTTCATCCCCAGAGCTTTCTAAATCCCCAGCGGCATCCGGAAGGCCATTGAAGACATTGTCAAACCGTACAATGCCATCATAAAAGAGCACCTTTAAACCCTCCTCATGCAGCCCTCCCAGAACCCACCGGAAAGACCCTCATATTAAGGTCTTATGTAACAACGTAAAAAGACCCTGCAAAAGAGGCCTTGAGCAAGCGAGGTGCAACGCCGTCTTGCCCGAGCGGGTTGCGGCATTCGGATCTGCGGGCATCGACGCCGAGGTTTCCAGCTTGGGGTTTTAGAGTCTAGGGTTTCGGGTTTAGAGCTTCAGGGTTTTTAAATGTTTAGGGTTTTGAGATTTTAAGGTTTGGGGTTGGCACATCTAAGGGCGTAGGGCTCAAGGTTACGAAGGCTCATACGGATGAGGTTGCCGTTTATAAACGGCGCAGAGGAGCAGAGACAGTCGAGCATACATCACAACACTAGCATCTGCACATACATGCGCGCCTACCTGCATGCGCACTGTTATTGTGCATATGAATATCATGACGAAAGTATATGTCACCGACGATAAGCCTAAGAGGCAGTTGCGCGCGTCATTTTTTAGCGCTGTACGGTGGCAATCATCCCTTTTGTTGTTTGTATTGTTGTTGCTGTTGTTCTTGCTGTTGCCGGTCTAAGGCTACCAATACCACTGCGGCTGCTGCTGCTGCTACTACTACTATTGTTTCTGCTACTCCAGCATTGGCATATAGTACGTATAAACTATCATTATCCCATTCTAGCAGTAGCTTTGCTGCTTCTTCCTCTGATCCTGAAGCCCTGTACCAGACACCCGCAAGGCCAAGCCTGTCCCAAGTTCCCTGATCCCGTAAGAAGCCCCAGCTTGCCACTGCCGCCTGCCCGATGTGCCAGCAACAAATTCACGGCCTCGACAGTCAAAACTCAAACAAAATTGACAAACACGTTACAGCGGGGATTCTATTTTGGTCTTTCTGTATGCAGCTTTGTTCAAGACGGCCACTTGGACTTAGGACAAGACTTTTTTGCTGGCTCGTGAGGTTTTGATCTCTATCGTAGGGGCCTCAATGATTGAAACTCTTGCTTTCGTCGCTTCGTTTGAGACTGTGTTGGAGCTTCGTGCGATGCCACTTGCAAGGGCTCACTGCGCCCGGTCGTGAACGCCCGAACAACCAAAGTGGATACACTTACTAAAGTATTCCGACCCAATGATGCGAAATCCTGTTTTCCAGGTGTCCGAATCCTGGAGGCGAGGGTGTGGGGCTATGAACCACCAAATCCCCAGCACAAGAGCCCCTTACCCTTAAAATATAAGCTCTTCTATCAAGAATCCTTTAGGTCCATACGAAAGTACGCACGGAAAGAATTCCAAAGGAGAGCCCCGTGTATACCCCGAAATCCGCTAAAGACCGGACAAATATCGCGTCAGAGCTGCCGCCGGCGCAACTCGCTCAACGGCATCGTGAAGCGGGGTGGAGCCACATCGGGCCACCTGGGAGTTTCCGAAAATAGGGCGTACCTTATTTTGGGACCTTGTAATTGAGGGTCTTTCCGGAAACCCCCACCTCGCTGGCATCCAAAGGTACTCTTACGCCCGTTGTATCCTAGAGATTCGGAAAAGTCTACATTGGACGATCCCTTGTAGTAGTATTGCCTGTTGAGCAGCCCCCTTAACAGATTCTCCAACAGAAGCTTGAACAAGATTGTACCCGAATGTACACATTCACCGGATACTACTTTAGTCTCGGTTCCTCTCTGTCGGCCCGTTTAAGGGATTGGAGAAAAGGGACGGAATGGCAGGGTCTCAAAGTACAGAGTCCGACGCAAAGGCATCCACAGGAGCGACAAGCAAAACGATTCTGGGGGCACCCTTCAGAGCACTAGACTATCCTGCTTTGTCTCTGTCGGATTTTGTCCATCCGCACGGATTGGCATCTGAGCTCTGCACCACATCTGGACGGGCTTTGTAGCGAAGCAATGTCGACGCCATCATGTACGGGCCATCGTCCTTGCAGCATGTTGTCATGACAAACAAACTGGACTACCAGCGTATCAATGGTGCACAGCATAGACTATACGACACAGCAGTGCCGGCTTGCTACGAGAAAGGAATGGTCGAAACAGTCCAGCACAGCGGTCCGAGTGCTGGGCGTGGCAGTAGTAGTAGTAGTAGTAGTCGTCGTAGGAGGGAGAAGAGTAGTAGTAGTCGTAGTAAGAGAGTAGGAGTAGCAGCAGTAACAGGAGTAGCAGTAGCAGCAGCGAGAGGAGCGGCAGAGCGACACCCCGTGCAGAAGCACCCGCTATAAAGAACAACCAGAAGAGCCGGTCGGTGCGCAACGGATACGGGACTTGGTAAGTAGGTTCTTCACACATGGGCGGTTGTCAAAATTATGGTCCCTTTTTGGGTACCTTAAATACTCGGTGCGGTATTATAATAGGGACCCAAGAAGGGACCCTAATTTTGACAACCACCCACATAGGGGTCACTTCCTACGCAGGTCTCTGGGTGCCATCAGCCTGGTTCTGGATCCAAAAACAGAAAGGATCACGGGACTTCGTCTGTAATTGAAACGAAAGCTGAAATGAGCAAGACAGCCCCAACTGCAGTACCTGTTGCTCTTCTTATCAACTCCTTACGAAGTCGGCATGATCCATTGGTCCATTGAACAGCCAACTCAAAAAACCCAAGATCTTTGGACTTGCAGTGATTTGCAAAGGGGCTCGAGTCCCTCCATTAATTTAGCTTAAGACTAAGTACCACCTCCCCGGATCAGACGTCCGAAGCCTTACTCAATAAATCCGAAGCACTAAAACGCACACTTCGAAACGCCACATCCCTGGAATTTTCAATCCTTCACCTGTAGCTTTAAATCACTAGCTGAACCTCTGGACACTGCTTCCTAAGTCTGTTCCTTTACTTGTGTGTCTGTAAGGGCTGAGTACCCGAGCGCAAGAATGTTAATCTTTAAATAGATTAACCAGGATTGACCACAACAATCCAATACTCTACGGAGTTACAAACTCCAAAAGGTTCAAGGTTGCCTACATGGAGGGTCGGGGGACTATTACTAAGCAGGAAATTTTAAAGAGTCTGAGTTATAAGTACCATAACCCCAATTAGGGTCTCTTTTGGGGTACTTATAACTCTACTTATTACCTACTTACTAAGTCCCCCGACCCTCCAAGTAAGCCGCAATGACAAGCGAATCCACACCCACCAAAGCTCCTACATAGACCTGTATACACTCACCAACCCTAAACCGGAACCCCTAGACCCCTCAACCCGAAACCCCTAAACCCAAACCCGTAACCGCTAGACCCCAACCCCCAAACCCCGAACCCCCTAAACCCTCAACCCCCATAGGTGCCTTCCGGGTGATGGAGCGCACAGCGCGGGCGAGGGGAGTGAGGCCACAGCAAGTAGAATTCAGGTTCTCCTGGGCTCAGGTTCTTAGGGTTTTTGATTCCTGCGGAGGAGCTCAGGAACTGAGGGTTCTGTCTTCAAGTTTAGAGTTTGAGGGGTTGGGGACAGGGACTCTGGAACCCTTATAGTACACTTACAGTAGCCCCTTAAAGGAGCCCTAAGTTACCTCGAATTTTCGGAAACTCCCTAGTTTTTGGGGTCTTCAGGATGCAGGCTCTTGGGCTCAGCGTTTTGCTTCGGCCCGTAGGGTTCAGGGCCGCAATTCGGGTTTTCTTACCTTTGGTTAGTGGAGGAATGGGGTACAATTATACTGTAGTAGGGTTTAGGGTTTAGGGTAGTAGGGAATGGAGGAATGGGGTACGATTTTAACTACTATTACTACCATTCTTCCATTCCATACTAACCAAAGGTAAGTTTCCGAGTGTGTGGGGCTTTGGGATCAGTGGAACTATCCAGCAGGGTGATTGCCACTGTCGCGCTTATGATCGTGGAGCTTAGTTGCAGAGTCTGAGGTTCTTTGAGCAACAACAAACGAAGGATCATGGAACTGTCACCCGATTCGAGGCCCAACACGATACCTCTTCAGAGTCTTATTACGTACGGTCCCGAGAATAGAACCCATGATCCCTATTTAGAACCGGATGTTCCCCCACCCCACGTATGCTGACGCTTAGCGGATATCATGGGAGTTTGGACACGGCTGGCTAAGCTTTGCAAAGGCCGCAGCAAAAACAGCACCAAAGATGTATGCAGCCCATTCTACTGTGTGAGATGGGACCTAATGAGCTATTCATTGGATGGACAATCCGTTTGGAGTGACGGCTGTCCCAAGGCGGGTTACAACAGGTTTATGAGCAGTGTGTATGACAGGCTTTACCTTATTACCAATGCGCCACTGCATGCTGCAACTTCTGGCCGTGAAGATGGAATCCAACCGAATCTGCTGCAAGAAGCACCACCTCTATACGAATAAGCTCTGATTCCTACAGCCTGGACCCTAGACCCTAAACCACTTAACTTGCTGTTCCGCTTAGCCTTAAACCGGAATGCTACAACCTGTAACTTGCTGACTTCGACTCGATATATGGCTTCAGAATCTAGGACACCTAGCGTAAGGCCGTTATATGCAGAATCCGACTACATAAGGCTCCAAATAATGATTATCCCATGTCTGCTGAAACTCCGACATCCGGGCAAAATAGCTAAACAGTACTATTAGTATTCAGTAATATTCATAGTATCAGCAGTATTAGTAGTATTGGTAGTACTAGCAGTATTAGTAGTATTGGTAGCATTAGCCGTATTAGTAGTATTAGCAGTGTTAGTGCTCACATTCCCTCGTCAAGTATGACATGCCCCAAGACCTTGTTTAAGCCAGCATTCTGCATGCTATGGTCTTGGACTCCCAGATCCCCGGTGTTCTAAACCCTAAGCCACCGACCCCCAAATCCTAAACGCCCAAAAAAACTTAAAACCTAAACCCCAGGACCCTTAAACCCCAAAACCCCTAGAACCCCGAAGCCGTCCTTGATGCCAGCAGCCAAAAGAAACTCAAGAGCATCCACATACTGGCCGTGAACGGCCTGGCTGCTAAAGGAGGTCGTTTGGGTTTACGGTAGGGTTTTGGGCTTTAGGGGGCTTAGATACGGCTTTGTTAATCTTGTCAGCCTTAACTATGTGTGTCTAGGCTTTGGTGCTTGGGGGATGCGGTTTAGAGGTCTGTGAGCTGGCAGGCTCTCGGAAGTAGAAACACCCAGGAGGGCAAGTTTTGGAGTTCAGAATCTGGGGCCTGAGTGTCGAGACGAATAATATGACGTCTGGCTTCTGTGACGCGGACGAAAAGTCGCAGCGGAGATTTAGGAAACTGAGTGTGCTGCAAACTCCTTGGAGTTTCCGAAAGTAGGGGACCGCACTTCAGCAGTCCCCTTAATGGTAGGATCCCTATTATAAGGACCCCAAAATAAGGTACCCAAGTGTTCGGAAACTCCCACATGAAGGGTTTTAAGGGTGCAGACGAATGGTGTCCGATGGTATGGTGCAGGGTTCTTCTTTCTAATAGCGCGACAAAGACAACCAAGTATACACTCAGAACAACTTCAAACACAGCCCCAGTACAATCCATTCACATCCCAAAGCATACTGCAATGTATCGTACTGATCTGCCGAGCAAGGAAAACCGGACAAAAAACCTAGACTATGGCTCGCGGTAGATCATACTGTATTGGCATAAGGACCATACCGAACATCAGTACTACTTTATCAGACATCTTTGGTACGCCAACAGTTCCGCGAGATGATGCTGAGATACGCAGGGTTTGCGGCCGAGCTTGGTAATTCGAACCACTACACTCGAATCCCGAACCTCTCAGCCCCTAAACCCATGCTGCGCCATCAAACCCGAGCCCTTTTCTGGATTTTGGGATATGCTCATGGTATCATTTTGTACGTAGAGACTAGTGACGGAGACCGTTACGAATTCTTCTGACCTCAAGCTGAAGTTAAACCCTGACCTGCTCATGAGCCTTAAACTACCTTGAAGCCTTAGAAGCCGTGAGCCCTTGCGTGGTATAAGCCCGAACTGTGCAACACTCGAATGCCCTCAAACCCAATACCTTAATAACCCCACACAGTAACCATTTATAGTACCCCCTGAATAGCAACCTTATGTCATACCCTAAATTGTAGGATCCTTGTAATAAAGACCCCCAACATCAAGTACCCCTTCTTTTCGGAAACTCCCATACATTAACTAGTTTCTCCAAGTCCTCGCCTCGTGCAAGGAGTGGTCGCAGCGAAAAGGGCAACCAAGCATCGACCGTTGCGAGAGGGCCAATTGCACCAAAGGGACCTTGGAAGGGGAAGCAGGGTTTAGGGTTTAGGGTTCCTTAAAGGGATCTAGAAGGGATCTATTGGGTTTAGGGTTTAGAGGACTCCAATATCCCGTAATTAAGGCACCAAAGGGACCTTGGAAGGGTTTCTAGGGACTTAAATTTCATTTGCCATAATGTTGGAAACCATTTCGTTTACTATCAGTGGAAGGGGAAGCAAGGTTCAGGGTTATCCTAGCTGCTGAGTGCATAAATCCGACAACATGCAGACTTTCAGTTCTATAGTAGGGTGTAGTATTATCACCCAATGTGCAAAGTGTACTCATTCAGCTATTCAGCTATGATTAGACTAAAGCCTCGTGGTTTAATGTTATGACCCTTTTGCCAGTGCGTCGGAGGTCTCGGATCGCGTGGCCAGCGTCCGATCCCTCCGACCGCCTTCGGCCCCTTCCCCTTCTTGATCTTAGGCTGAGGGGGCACGGCCGCCCCTGCAGCCGACGACTTGCTTCGAAGTCGCCGAGCCCTCTTGGTTCTGGCCGCGCAGGCGCTGCTACCGTGCTTCCTGCCGCTCGAACATTCTCAGATAGGTTCGGAGTCTGACGCAAGGGGAACACACAACTGGCGACAGACTCAGTGCCCGATACTGCGCGATAGAAGGCGTTCCAGCTGCAGCTGAGCCACTGCCTGGACCACCACATCCACTTCCACAACCTTCTTCTCTTCATGCGGCGCAGGCAAGATTGCAGTGCCAGGACCTTAGTCCGCAGCTCATCGAGATGCAGGTGTTTTTGTGGCATGCACCTTTCACAAGCCTATATTCAGCTTGGAGTGGCGAGCAGGAACAGGAGGCGGTGTCGGCGGCTGGCGAAAGGCTTTCTTGGGAGCCGCAGGAGGTGGCGGGTTGATCCCTTTGGTGATTGGACTTTGAAAGCTACTGCTGCTTCCTTTGCAACCCTCCTTTGCTTTCTGAGGCACAGCCGGCGGCGTCGGCAACGAGACTGAGACCTCAGCCACTGCTCCATGTGAACATGCACTGCGCGATGACGGAGGATCCCCTGGCCTTAACTGACACATACTGTCGAAGCCGATGCCGCCCCTGAAGTGAGATGCATCTGCGCACTATAGTGACCGTAACCCCGGTCTGGATATCGGTAGGAACCGCCGTGGCGCAAGCAGCAGAGGCCATGGCTGTGGGAGTACTCCAAGAAGGCAGGCTTTGCTGTTGTTGCTGTCGAAGGCTTCGAGCCGATCCGCCAATCAATCCGTACACTTATCTTTCATGCTGACGCTGTGCCAAACATGCGGTGCACCTTCTGCTGGTCCTCGCTAGCGCAGACACTGGGCTTGCACGCTCCCTGTCTTTGTTTTGGAAGGACATTGGCTGGCATTAGCTGCTAAGGTACACGGCAGGGCGTCTTACGTCCACAGGGTCTCGGATGGAAGTTTCTCCATCGAGACCACTGTGCTGTGCCACCACTTCCGCCCTGCTTTGAGGGGGTGTGGCCAGCGGAAGTCCCTGGTGAGCCCCAGGTCAAAGTTCAAGGGGCGCCTCCAGGAACCTCCTCGTGCTGCCGGAGCTGGTGCTGGCTCACGTTCAGATCCGGGTCCTCCGCGTACTCGTCTGAAAGCCACTCTGCAGTCCTGGGCCAGGCTCTCCGTCTTGCCTTCTCTCTCACTATCATGGTCCGTGCGCGTTCTTTTTGTTGCTGAGTGTGGAGCTGGCGATAAGGCAGCAGACTGAAGTGGTCCATCTCCTCCGGATGTTGCGTCCGGAGGACCCGCCCCGACTCCATATATCTGGGGCGGGCCTCCTGCCTCCCAGACCTGTCAGAGCAGCATGGTACTCGACGGCGGAGGTCTTCACCTTCAACTCCTCGCGGACGCCTGAGTTCAAAGGAAGCTTAACTTGCTCTCCGCTAGCCCACCCCACCACCCTCCACTCCAATGCAGGCCGAGGCACCGGAAGTGTGCACCACAAACTTCGCTCGCAGCACCGTTTTAGGTTGCTGCTCCGAGCTGTGGAAGCTGTCCTGCAGATGTCTGTCGAAGCACTACTCCCTAGCCAGCCTGCAGGAAGTTGAACAGGTTCATGGCCGTCTCACCGAGTTGCAGAGAGAAAGGACACCCGATCGAGGATAACTGGGAGCCAAGAGAACGCTGCAGCCATCGTGCCTCGTGCAGGCTCCTGCTGCTGCCTAGTTCTGCTGCCCCTCGGTCGTCGGCCTTCCAATTATCAGGCTTCTTTGGCACTTGTCTAAAGTACAGGGTGAACGGCTCTTTGGCACGTTAGGGGCTTTTAGCTATGATTAGAATAGAGCTTTGGGGTTTGGGTTATGATTAGACCAGGGTTCTGGGTTATGAGTAGATTGGGGTTTCGGGGCATACATTGGGACTATCACGGAAGGCTCTTGCTCATTACGCTACGCAGACAGCTAAAGTACCGGGCGGTCTGCAGCGTCTTATGGCTTGGGGCGTAGGGGCTGAGAGGGTGAAGGTTTACGGTCTATATGAGGAGGAGGAGCAGGGGTTCGGGTTTAAAGCTTTGTACTTGCAGGGCCCTGCGGCCAAGCAAGTAGGCATTGAGCGGGATAACACTCGTATAACACTCATTTAGGGGCCTTATCAAAGGCTGGACCCTTCCAAACACCTGAACCCCAAACCCTGAACACTAAATACTATTACTACTACTACTACTACTACTGCTGCTACTACTACTACTACCACCACCACTACTACTACTACTACCACCACTACCACTACCACTACCACTACCACTACCACTACCACTACCACTACCACTACCACTACCACTACCACCACCACCACGATTACTACTACTGCTACTACTACTACTACTACTACTTCTACCACCACCACCACCACCACCACGACTACTACTACTACTACTACTACTACTACTACTACTACTACTACTACTACTACTACTGATACGAGTGATACTAGCTAGCACTCCTCTTCGTTTGTAACCTCCGATTTTACTTCGCTCCTTTCCTTAAGGCCCCCAAAAAGCACATAAGCAAAAATTAGGATAGGGATATCCCATATAAACCCCCTTCTAATAAGGTCCAACAAGGTAGGGATATCCCCATAAGAAGCGTATGCTTATGTGCTTTTTGGGTTCTCTAATTCCTGGGCACCCCCGGCGGACTTCTTCCTCAGGCCGGCCTGCACCTGCGGGTAGAGGGCTCAGGGTTCCTTTAAAGGGCTCCTTAAGGGAATCCTTAGGTTCCTTTAAAGGGGCTCCTTAAAGGGATCCTCTGAATGGTATAGGGCTTAGGCGTTTAGGGCTTCTGGCTTAGGGTTTAGGGTTTAGGGTTCCTTAAAGGGATCCTCTGAATGGTTCCTTAAAGGGGACCTAATGGATCTTCTATATCACGGCCAATAAGGGCGTCATGGGGATTTATGGGGTCTCACCCGAACCCTAAACCCTAAGCCCAAACCCTACCCAGAGACTCCAAAATCCCTTAAGTAAGGAATATACCTAAGTTGTAATAGGACCCCTAATATGATTTAACGTATATTCCTTAATTACGGGGCTTTGGAGTGTCTGGGTAAGCCCTAAACCTACGCATTGAACCCTAAGCCTAAACCCCAAGCAGATACCTCGCAACCTTAGGGCAAGGAGCATTTGCGTGAGGGTGTAAGGTTTCACTGACGGTTGCGCTGCAGAAGAGGCCTGAATAATTAGAGAAAAGAGTGGGGTTGAGAAGTTGAGAAACACTATAACTATGTTCGTGAACCCCGAAGCACAACGCTTCGAATGTACACCCACGCAGGTTCCGTTTGAGCAAAGGGCTCTTGAATTATCTATGCACTCAGCACAAACGGCCCATCTCGCAAGCTACGCTCTCTGTAGTCGACCGGCTGAGCTCCCGCTCAGTGTTAATCCACTTCTGGTGGAACATTGTCGCGGATAGCTTCTTGCATCGCAAGGATCTGCACGTTGACTTCCAGCTCAGTGCGGCCTCTGAAATGGGCGTCTGCTTCTCTCACAGCTGCTGAGTTGCGCCAGTTGTCGTTGATGGCGCGGCTTCCATCCGACTCGTAAATTGCCAGCATTCTCCTGCGACGACCAGCGACACAATAGGAATGGGTACTCGAGTCCCAGCCGCTGTGAAGCGATGCCTCCGGGTGACAGCATGCCATCTCACCCTGACTGCCGGACGATCGACGTCTTCTCTGACCATAGTAGGACGTGCCCTGAAACCACGCTGACTGGTCACCTTCCCACATACGGCGATGATACCTGATCTCCTTCATGGTTGGGTGGTCAGGCAGGGGCCAACCGATCCTCAAAATGTAAGGCGGGTCAGGGGGATGATTGAGCCTTGTGGGACGTTGGGCAAAGAGACCGGGTAAGCGGGCTACCAAGACACCCAAGCCCCGCCTAAACCCTAAAACCTGAAGCTTTAAAAAAACTCAACCCCCCAAAACCTGAAACCTTGAACCACGTTTTCCCTTTTGGTCCTTGTTGTGGCTATAAATCATAGCAGAATGCATCCCAAAACCCCCGAAAAAACCGTGGCGCGGGCCCCGCCTCGCACTGTAGCTGCCGCACCTTCTGAGCCGCACAGGGCGCAGGCGGTGGTGTCGCACCGACCGCCTGCCATGCGCGATTTCGGAGTTTCCGCAAATAGGGGACCCCAATATGGGACCCCAGATAGTAGGATCCTTATCATAAGGACCCCAAAATGAGGTATCCCTAATTTTCGGAAACGGTGTCGCACCGACCGCCTGCCCATGGCGATTTTCAAAGGGGAAAAGGAGGGACCCTTAATGGGGACCCCGACCCTATAATGGGCTATATAATGGGTATATAGGGTATATACTAGGGATGCGATTTGGGAGTTTCCGAAAATAGGGGACCCTAATATGGGACCCTAAACCCTAAACCCCATAGATCCCTTACAGGAACCCGGTGTTCCCCAGTGAAGGGATATGGGAGTTTCGGAAAATCGGGGACCCTAATGTAGGAACTCTTATTGTAAGGATCCCAGAATAAGCTAGCCCGGCTTAGGGGCTCAGAGGCTTGCAGTAGGGGTTTGGGGTTTAGGGGTTTAGATGTGGCAGTTTCCGAAAAGAGTGGACCCTAATACGGGACCCCAAACAGTAGGATCCTTATTTCAAGGACCCCAACATGATTTACACCTAATTTTCGGAAACTGCCATAGTTTAGGGTTTAGGGTTGGAGGGTTCTGCGGGCAAAAGCTCCAGGTTTCAGGGATAGTGTAGGGGTGAAGGTCTAGATTCTCAAGGTATAGGGGATTTAGCTTCGTGTCCGGGTGGTGGGGCCCACCCCAATAAAACCCTGTACACTTGCAATAAGCCCCGGTAGATTCTGATAAGCCCAAAACCTAGAGGCTTTGAGGCTCCGGGGCAGAGGGCTAGCCCGACGCCCACAGCCCATGTCCCCGCAGCTCCCTCACACTTTCTAGCAGTTTTCCACACCCAGTTTTGTGCCCCTCTGAGCACTAAAGCCCCGCTATTTCTCGCTAGAAACAGTAGAAGGAGCCCACCTCCGCTCCCACACCCATCGCTACTAAAGTTCTTATTCTGAACCCAAATCCCAACTTGTCCGCCCAAAACCCTAAACACCAGAATACCTGCTGGAACCCTCGTAGAACCCTTGAAGAAACTTGGTGAAGGCACCGTACTCTACTGATTAGTGGCGCTAAACCCTAAGCTCCCTAAACCAACAACTGTCAACCCCTAAACGCCCTAAACCCTCAACCCGCAACCCCTATATCCTCAACATCTACGCCCAAAACTCCTAAATTCTCAACCCCTCAACCCCAAACCCCTAAGCCCTCAACCCCAAAACCCCAAACCCCTAAGCCCTCAACCCCTAAACCCCAAACCCCTAAGCCCCCAACCCCAAACCTTTAAACCCCTCCTCTCCCCTCAAGGATGGGATGCCTTGCCCTTCGGCTCGGGAGTCTGCAGGATGAACTCATGCACCTCCTGGGCTGGGGCCGTTTTCTTCCCCGAGTTTTAGAGGCTGAGTACCCAGCCCCAAAAAGGGTTGGGTTTAGGGTTCAGTGAGATTTAGGGTTTAGGGATTTAGGGTTTAGGGTAGCCTGGCCCCCAAAAAGGTTAACCTTGTCAACTATAGTAGGATTACATCAACACCTTCTCAGCTACTAAGTTTTTAAGGGCCACAATACTTTGAACAGGACTTCCCTAAACCCGAAACGGCCCTAAACCCCATTCTGATTAGAATAGGGTTTTGGTGTCTTTAGGGTACTACACAAGGCTTTAGTTTCGGGACCGCAATCCTGATAAGAGGGCTATGGAATGAGGGCTACTATGAAGGTTCCCTTATAAGGGGCCACAATTATTCGAATAGGGCGATTGCATTTGCCATAGGGATTACTATAAAGGGTGCGGTCAGGCTCTGATTTAAGGGCCACTCAATTCGAACGGAGTTTTGGGCCTCTCAAAGGGTCTCATGAAGGGTATCATAAGGCTTGAGTTGGGGGTATCCCCCTTTGCGCATGCAGCACACGGGTCACAATGGTCCCTCAAACCCTCAACCCGACATCCTAAACCCCTCTAAACCCTAAACCGTAAACCTTCAATCTTAACCCCGAAACCCCTTATCAAGCCCTCCAGCCCCAAACCCTCCCAAACTCTGATCCCTTCAAGGAGCCGCAGGAATCACGAGACTCCAAACGCAACCCTAAACCCTGAGTCCTAAAGTCCAAACTCTAAACTCGAAACCCGAACCCCTAAACTCTAAATCCTAAACCCTAACCCCTAAAGCCTAAACTCTAAACCCTGACCCCTAAAGGGGCCCCGGCGAAGTCGGCCGCAGCTACGGCCGCGCTCGAGCTCTCAAGGCGCTGGACCTTCGTCGGGGAGGCCTGGACGAAGATAATATCGAGGCTTTCATAATTTAGGGTTTAGGGTATTATGGGGGTTTAGTATAGAGGGTTTCATAACTTAGCGTTTAGGGTTTTGGGGGTATACTAGACTATATAATATAGTCTGGACGAAACTAACAAGGAGGCCTGTATAATTTAGGGTTTAGGGTTTTGGGGTGTATTATACTATATAGTTTGGACGAAACTAACAAGGAGGCGTTTATAATTAGAATAGGGTTTTGGGGTGTATTGAGGTTCTAAGGGCTTTATATACTAGTAGGACAAAAAGGGCTTCTTTCCGCATCTATAAGGATGCCATAAAGGTGCGGTAAGGACTCTAAAAGGGAGCTATAAGGGCTTCATAAGGGTTCTGTGAGGGTTTTCTTTTTAAGGAACTGAGACCCCCGTGTAAAGTACCCTTTCGTAATGCAGTTTCGCAAATTGAGGGTTAATGCTTTCTAGATCCTGTCGGGGGTCTGGGAAAGCGCCACAGAGCGCCACAGGCGGTTTAGGGTTTCAGAGGTTCAGGTTTTAGGGTTTTAGGGCTTATGGCTTTAGGGTGTGGAACGGGTTTTTGCAAGGGTTTCTACAAGCGACGCCAGGAAATCTTAGGGTTGTAGAGCTTGGGGTTGAGGGTTCAAGGCGTTGAACAGGCATTAAACGGCAATCTTTTCGAGATTTCTGGAAAACGCCACAAAGGGTCGACTGGACTAGGTTCTTGGGGCATGGTATGGTGGAAATATGTACTAGGGTTGCTTGCACGGCTGCCTGGAAAACACCACCTCCGCAATCGTCTTGTTGTCAAAGAGATTTCTAGGTAAAGTTGTTCAATTCTTCTGTTGTTAAACGACATCATTGCGTTCATAATTTTTGGGTACTAGTTTTGTAGTTCGTTCCTCTTGTGCCGTTTCCGCTGCTCATTATTTGTGACGCATGGCTTTTGGCCCCATGTAGCCAGGCTTCGCCAGGCTCGACATCTGCGAGACGTCATCCCGTCTCTCTAGGCAACTTACTGGGTTGGATTCAAGTCTCAAGGAACATCACCATGGAGTTCGACAGAGCCCTGGAGAAATCAAAGCTGAGCGAAATCCGAACACCAAAGTCGTAGTGCAGCCGAAAGCTTTATAACTGGAAGCATAAGTTTTTCTTCCGCAGTTGATGTCTCTTGCCAGGCCTGCCAGATGTTCATGGTCTGTTCGCCAGTCGCTTGCCGAAAGTCCCCAAATCCTGCCTGGACACTATGTGAGCTACCACTAAGGGGTTTTTGCTTGGTCGTAATAGCAAGACTTGACATTAACTTATAAAGGCAAGCGTTCAATCTTGAGGATTAGGTTTAGGATTCTTGGACCCGCTCCCCGCAACACTGTCCAGTAGAATGGGAAACGTGAAGAATTCGCAATGAAACCCTATGTTGAAGTCCGCAACTGGTCGAGGGTTATGATAAGCGCTGATTAGTTTCTACACGAGGTATATATATATATATATGTATGTATATGTATATGTATATGTATATGTATATGTATATGTATATGTATATGTATATGTATAGAGTCCAGAGAATCATATAAGTGCGTCAACTAGGATAAGAAGTAAGGATAGCAGTGCTTTAACTAGGATTATAAGTAATTGTAAGTATAGTCGCAGTATTTATATCCCCAGGTACCAAGTCCAATGGCCCTGTAAGTACCAGCTCGTCCCTTCCCCCACCTGGTCGCGATGCGAGCCGCTTTGAGGCACGACGTCGTTTGGGCTTCAGGGAGCCGCATCAAAGGACCAGGAGGCTGTACATGGGAGATTCCGAAAAATAGGGGATCGTAATTTAGTACCCTAAATAGTAGGATCCCGATTATAAGGACCCCCAAAGAAGGTACCCCCAATCTTCGGAAACTCCCACATTCCGCAGCTTTCTGGTATCCGGGGTTAACAGTGCGGCTATAGACGTCAACCCCGAAGCGCGAAACCCTAAGTGGGAGTTTCCGAAAATTAGCGGCACTTTATCATTTTGGGGTCCTGACAAGTATAATGAGGGCCCTACTGGTTAGGGTACTATATTACAGGGTCCCCTTTCATTCGGAAACTCCGAAGCCCTAAACCCCTAAGCCCCTACTAAACTCGGCAAGCTCAATCCCAAAGTTGAGTACCCAAAACCAGAGCACCCACTGTGCACGGTGTCCTCGTCCACGTCCAACACTCCCCTGAGATGCAAGGGCTGTATTTCGGGGCCTGAATTACCATTTCTCGCATTATTGTTTTTATTACGATTACTATTGTTATTGTCCTTGTTGTTGTCATTACTCTTGCAATTAACGGCCCTTTCTGGAGGGTGCTGTATTATTACTGTCATTGTTGTTGGTATCATCCTATAAGGTTCCCAGTTTAACATGAGAAGGCCCTCTGAAGGGCTGATACTGCAGGCTAGGACATGGCGGAGAAATCAGTTTGCTGATCTTCAGGCTCCATATGCCCAGAAACTCCAATATCTCTTAATCTAGGAACATACCATAAACTATAGTGGGATCCCTAATATGATTTAAGGTATATCATACCCTTGAGCTCCTTTAAGTAAGGTTTAGACGGTGGTTTCCGAAAATGGGGGACCCTTATATAGTACCTGAAGGTCCTTATTATAAGGACCCCAGAATAAGGTATCAAAATTTTCGGAAACTCCCATATGCCGTAAGGCATAACAAAATCAAATCGATGTTCAACCTGGGCTTTATTCAGGCTTGAGGGTTTGGGCATTGTTTTAAATCCGTCTCCCATTCAAAGAACTGGCTCAATATTCAGGTTTGAGCATCAGGAGTATGCAGTTCAGCCGTCCTCAAACTCACAGTGATGTCTCATACCTAAGCCATGGTGGGTTTAGTGCCGAAATCGAAACAAGTTCAAAGAACCTCTGACTGCCCAAAGCGGCAAGCTTTTGGAACCCTCCCCTAAATCTTAAACCCTAAACCCTATGCGCCCGAGCCCGGCACCAGCTACGCCGGCGGCTGATGCGCGGTGTGCCCGGGTCCTGTCCAAGCATATGTATCACTCCAAGAGTTAGAGCGTTTTCTGGGCTTTTATGTTTCTAAGCGGGGTTTAGGGTAATGAGGTTGTTCCCCAAAGCATGGTGAAGGGGGTTTCCGTGAAGGTGGCTTGGATGGCATGACGTGCGGATGTTGATGCGGCGTTTTCGTGCGGTTGCTTGCTATTTTCGAGAGGTTGTCCCCTGGGTCTTCGTCGGATTGCCTATACCTAGTCTTAAAGTATCCTGGGGAACTAAGGTTAACCTTTGGGAATGTATTGGGATTATACACCACCTACTCTGCTACTAGGGCTGCCTAAAGTACAATCCTGGCCGGCTTCACCGACTTGGCCTGGTTTTGCTGGTGTAGCATACCGGAATTGCGAAGAGAGCACCTTCAGTATACAAGGCTTAGATGCGACCTACCGTTGTTTTCCACTTCGTGCGAAAACGATTGCAGTCTATCATCCTCAATCTGCATGTCTTCTTATAGTCCTGTAGACCCCAAAACCCTATTTTAATTGTTCAGGCCCCAATTTTGCACTCGAGAAAAACCCGGTTGAACTCTACAAACGTGCAGCAAGATCGTCGCTAAGACCAAATGCTACAATTATAACAACAAGGACCAGTGCTACTACTTACCCAGGCTTCTAGATCCAAACCCCTAAATCTATTTGCTGAGTTCATTAGCAAAAAAGATGCAAAGTGTCAGTCCTTTCGAGACTATTCTAATCCCAAAACCACAAGTGTACATTGTACTCACCCACCTACTAAGTCAAAACCCTAAGCTCTAAACCCCTACAGTAGAGGCCAGAAAGTTGGAATATCATTATCGTAACCCCTTTAAGGTAAATTATAGGGGATCCTACCATTAATCCATATTCCAACTTTCTGGAGTTCCCTTTAAACCCAGAAAAACCCTAAACCCTGAACCCCTGAAGCCCCAAACCCTAGACCCCTAAACCCCTAAAAAGCCTCCTCAGGCATCAAGGCTGGTGGCGTGGTCCGGAATCCCCATGACTGGGCCACCCAAATGGGATGTTCCGGAGTTCGGGCTGATAAGATGCTTCAGAATTTCGGGTTCATTTGGGCTTATAGGATGCTTCAGAGTTTCGGGTTCAGGGTCTGTTTGTGTTTTTGTCTTCGCTCCTTTTTTCGACTGCAGGGCTGTCCGGGTTTTGTGGCTCTGGGTTTCTAAAGTGCAGGGGTCCGAAAATGGGCGGTACATAGGAGTTTCCGACAATAGGGGACCCGAGTCTAGTAATCCCCTAATTTTCGGAAACTCCCAAACCCTAAACCCAAAATAGATCCCTTATAGGATGCCTGTAAGGAACCCTGTAAGGATCCCTTTAAAGGTACTCCTAATTCTCGGAAATTCCCACATTTCTAAGACAGAATCTGGAGGGTTTTTTTCCATAAGCTTTCTGCCCCAGGTCGCAAGGGCTCGGCGAGGAGTTTGACGAGGACGTTGATAACTACCTGTACTATCTTGCGGGTTCCTGAAAAAACTACCTATACTATTTTGGGGGCTCTTTATTACATTTACAATATAAGAGGCCCCCAAAAAACTCTATTCCACTTTTCAAGGCTTCTATATTAGGTGTCTGGGACTTCGGGTGTAGGAGGTCTTGTGGTGCATTGGACTTCGGCCGAAGGCCAGGCGCTTCCTTCTTAGAGCACCGGAAACTCAAACTGTGGACGGACATCTGCTGCCCCATGTAAACCTTTTCGGTAGGCTTTTGATCATCGGTGAGCCCAGCTTGTGCATGCTGCCAGTGTTGTTGATGGGGGGGGGCACAATCCACAATCTCCAGTCACCACTTTTCATGTTCTGTGGCAGCTGCACACATGCGGTGGCTCCACACGTATTGATAGACTGCCATGATGGTAATGGCAGGCGCCGCTTTTAGTCTCACTTGCATCAGCCTGCCTGGAAGGAGTGCCGAAGAACGGATGGCATTGCCCGGTACAAGGCTTTTGTGCATCATAACCAGGATGCCTGCTTGGCGATTGTTGAGACCAAACTGAATCATGTGGTAGTCAATTGACTGCCATTCTGAAGTAAAGCTCCAGTGGGTCTCAAGCAGCACACAAACATGTATGGTTTGGCCACTTTGGTGCTGCCCATTTGGGTGGCATGGGAGGCACTTTCTTCTCAGCCGTCTTCAAGCATCAGGGAAGTGGCAGCGATTTCGGTTCACACCAGCACAACACCCAACGGAAACACTCACCAAAGCAGTACTGCAATCCGTACGTGATATGGCCCGCGCTAGTCACCAGGTGATGCGGTACCAGACCAGGCATTCGATACACATCCAACCGCGAGCTGTCCTTTGTCTCGTCAGAACCTCCCGTTACGAACCTCACATAGCTACCCTATCATTTAGCCCCCAATCGTATTGTACCAAGCATCCCCTCTTATGCTACTGAGTTGTTTATTGACATGGCAATGGTAGCCGTAGTCAGCGGTGATACTCACGATAGTTCTCATAGAAGGGTATCCTAAAGAGACCTAAGCCTTTTTAGTTTCACGGGAAATCGATAGGTCGTCTGGTAAGCTTCTTATATTCCGTTTACGCAAGAGCACCAAGTGCAAGGACGTAGGGCGTCCAATCAGGGCTATCTAGATCCCAAGCCCTAAACCCTAACCCCGAAACCCCTAAATCCTAAACCCCCAAACCCGTAATTAAACCCTAAACCCCTAAGCCCGTAATTAAACCCTAAACCCCTAAGCCCGTAATTAAACCCTAAACCCCTAAGCCCGTAATTAAACCCTAAACCCCTAAAACCCCCCAAAAGGGACCCGAGGGCCGTACACAGTCAGACCACGCTGGGAGCATCGCGAAGTTTGTATCCTCGCATCGGAGACAGAGAGCCCAACTTAATATAGGGGCCTTAATAATCTGAATAGGGTTCCTTTAAAAGGGTCCATAGGGGCTACTATAAGGGATCTACACTTTCAAATAAAATAAGGTTCCTTCAAAGGGGTCTACAGGGGTTACTATAAGGGATAGTATGAGGGTACCACGACACCGTAATGAAGATGCCCAGAAACTCCAATATCCCGTAGGATCCCTATTATGTTTTAAGGTATATTCCTTGATTAAGGGATTTGCAGTCTCTGGGTACCTTCGATTAAACATCGTAGGGAACTTAAACCTTAGAGTGCAAATTTTTCAATTTGGGATGATGGCCTCGCTGGGGACGAATAGGAACACGACTTGCGCAAGGGGGGGCTTCAGCACCCTAGGGCTAACTTAATGCTGTGATGGATCCTAGGTTAGGGTTTCGGGATTTAGGATTTAGGGGTTTAGGGTTTAGCGTTCAAGGAAGGGTTCCGGTATTTTGGGTTTCGTGGCTTCAGGCATTGAGGGCCGAATTAAGGGATACATTATCCAAGTTCCCTTCATTAGGGATCCATATATGTAGGACCCCTTAACGGAACCCTATCGTAGTTAATATAGGGGCGTTAATAATTAGAATAGGGTTTGGGGGCCGAGAATACTATAGTTATAGTAAGGAGCCCCAAAATAGTATAGGTAATTACTAAGTCCCGTATATTATTAGTTATTGGGCTCTCTGGGCAAAGCCTGCTCCACTCATTCTGGGGAAGCTGGGGTCTTCGAAGACTCCCTAAACTCCGAAAACCTGACAGACAATACCAGGTGTCGATTTCAAGAATACCAAACAAAACTTGGCTGACTTCTGAGCCCCCCCTAAAATTTAGCCGACTTTTTATAGTTCATACAGCAACCGCAAAAGTTACATTCCTTAGAGGCAGCCCGAAGAACGCCAAGAAACAACTCGCATAATTGAGGCTCCATATGGGAGTTTCCGAAAACAGGGGCCCCTATAATGTAGTACCTCATATAGTAGGACCCTTATTAGAAAGACCCCCAAATAAGGTACCCCTTCTTTTTGGAAACGCCTATATTAAACACCAGGGAAACCCTCCTGTTGGTAGATGTCTACAGTGGGGTCCCTTTTGCAGGTCCTTTTATAGGGGTGCCGTACTATTTTGGGGGAGCCCATTTCGTGCCCCGTGAACTGGACTAGGCTCTTGAGGTATACATGATGCTTTGTTTGTAATAAGGCAGGGCGCCCTAAGGATTATTAATGATAGTTATTCGGGCTTGGGTCAAAGGCCTAAAGCAGCCCTCCAGCCACACAACCGCGTGGGGCCTGCAAGCCCGAAGGGTTTTCGGATCTAAAGTTGGGTTGAGGGTTTAGGGGTTTAGAGGTTGAGGGGCTTTTCGGTTTAGGGGTTTAGGGTTTAGGGTTGAGGCTTTAGGGTTTAGGGGTTGAGGGGCTTAGGGTTTAGGGGTTTAGGGTTGAGGGTTTAGGGGAAGCCCTACCATCCGCAAGCTTTGAACCCTCTAGACCTCTGCCAGGCCTTCGGCCCCAACCTTAAATCCCAAGAACCCATAAAAAACCCGTAGAACCACTAAAAGTCTATACATCCTCAAAGCTCTTAAACCTCTACTAGGGGCCTTAATAGTTCGAATAGGGTTTGGGGCACATACTATATTTATAATAAGGATCCCCAACAAAAGTACCGTAAGAATCCTCAAGCTGGTGGGAGAAGGCCATGCTCTCTGTCCCAACCTGCACAAGCTCGGGTTTGGAGGCTTGAGCGCAGTCTTTCTGAAGGGCATTGAAGCTCGGTGGATTTGACAGGATTTTGTTTGGGCTTAGGGGCTGAGTAGCCTAGCCGAAAAAAAGTTAACCTGTAGAAATCCCAAGAGGTCCAAGGTTACCTAGTCAGCCACTGAGTGGGAGCTTGTGTAAGTATCGTCCATATATAAGCACCCCTTTTATCTGCCTGGCTTCCGCAGGAGCCCCCTTTAGTCATGATGGTATCTTGTTCATATTGCTTAGTTTTGTACTTGACGGGTTTCTCCAGGAGAATGAGGCTCCAACATCTGGGCTAAACCGTACCTTCATCTTTCTGAATAATTTAGGAGCCCTCAATGATTAGAACAGGGCTTGGGGGTATATTATACCAAAATGAGACCCCCCAAAATAATATAGGTATTTGTTGAGGTTCCTATATCAGCACGACCCACGGAAGATGGCTGAGATTTGAAGCAACTCAAGGACTGGCGTGGGCACTTGCCATGTTTAGGGTTGTAGCTGTAGGCTTTGGGGTTCAGGATTTGTTCAGGGTCAGGGCTAACGGTGTGGAATCCATCTGAGGGGCTCCTCAAATCTTACGGAGCCGATGGTGTGCTCAAAAAACATCAGCACTTCGAGATGCGGGGCCTTGTCAACCCGCCCGGTAGAAGGCACCCGCTGGCAGTTCCAAGCGGCTTTAGTGTTGGCTGTTTACAACTAAAGCCCACACACAGCCTACACATTCGATGCTAGAAGCTGCCTGGATATTCAGTACTGGCTCTTCGCCACTCACTTGTCGCCACAAGCTGTTGGAATGCATGATCAAGTTCATGCTGCTGCCTTGCCAGCTTTCTAATATTTTCTAATTGTCCTGTTGCCGCTACGATCTGCAGTCTGTGCATTCGCTCTTGCCTCAGGAACCCCAGCTGAAGCCTGCATGAGACAGCACCGGCGCAGAAAGCAGCTTCAGTACAAGGCTTGCGTATTGCAAGCAGCAGCCAGAAGGATGGGTGCATCAGCACGAGCCCTTTATTGATTGGGAACACACGACCCGGCATTGGTTGTACTGCACATGTGATGTGCTTACGAGTAAAAGTAAACGAGTAGGCTATGGACTATGGATCCAACCAGCGCTTTCTAACAAGCGAGGTGCTTGCTAGTCTACACAGAGGAAGAACACGCGCACAGCACTGGCGAGCTTCCGCGTGGCAAGCACTGGCACAGCTGCTCAGCAACTGCAGCACAACATGGTCATCACGTGACAAAGACACCAAAACAACATTAACAAGAACACCGGAATGGCAAGTCTTATCACTACACTAGCTTACGTGCCCGAATCTGCCGGGATCCATACAAGATCGAGCCCATCAGCAGTAGAGCCGCAATAGCAGTAAGCCACCCCTTAAACCCTAACCCTAAAGCTGTAAACCGTAAAACCTAGCCTAACATGCACTTAGAAGTCCGCTTTTTACGTGACTGTGACCGCATCGTTGCCGAGTGTTCGTACGCAGTCAACGGGCAGCCAGCCTCGGGTTACAAGTCGTTAGGGTTTAGGCCTTTTCGGGTCCGATGGCTTTAGAATTCTGTGGGCTTAGGGGTATAGTTCAGGGTCCGGGGTTTGATGTTTAGGCTCCAGGGGGTCGAAGTGTATATGCTTAGGGGGTCTACTTCGTGATGTGTCTGTCATCCTAGTATTCGGTGTCTTTCTGTGTCTGCTTGCCTCCGTCCGCCTCTTTGGGTGCTTGAGGTTGGACCCAGAAAACTCCAAAGCTTCTTTGTTAAGGAGTATGCCTGCAAGCTTAATCTGGGCCCCCTCCTCCCCACAGTTCAAGGTGGGAGTTTCCGCAAATGGGGGACCCTAATATAGTACCCTAAACAGTGGGATCCTTATTCTAAGGACCCCCAAATAAAATAACCCTAATTTTCGGAAACTCTCATATTGCGGAAGTAACGGGTTTTGGGGAAAGCGTGTGGTGGGTCGGGTGCGTGGGAGTCCTTACGTTTTCCACCTTGGGCGCAGGTTCTTGGCACGGTGTACCATACCTAGAGAGACCCAGACCCCGCAATTGGGGAGAGATACCTTGAATCAAGGACCTTGAATGACAAGGATTAGACCATAGTTCTGCTTTGCAGGAGTATCTCTCAACTAAGGTGCATTGGTCTGTGGGCTATCCTCTTGGGATTTTGACGCTAAGCCCCACACCCCAACCAGGTTGCGCCAGAAACGAAGAATCGCAGCTGCGCAAACCAGGACAGGCAGTAAGACACTGACCGCCAGCGTGGTCGGGCTCTCCTATTGGCCAGCCGTAGATGTAGTCGCAAGCGTAGCCTGCCAGTGCTGGTTTTAATGCTTTTTCGCTTCGGGGTCTACTTGTTTTGGATTGGTGCCTGGGGTTTGGAAGGCTTGTGGTCCATTTGTCGAGGGCATGAAACTTGCAACCGACAGGCTTTTTGATTAAGGTTTCGAAATCAAAACCAATAGGGCCGCAATGTGGAATTCTAAGCTTTGCGATCCTGATTGGAATAACAAGCCTAAGCTGATCTCAATACATCAGATATGGAATCAGACCAGGGTCTGGGGTGCTGCCATACTGGGAAAACACCAGGAAACTCCAGTTTGATTTACAGGAAAGAGAACCAGCACAGCAATGTCTGGCAGGCTCTGTTCAAGTGTGAGTGCATCAACAGTAAGTTTCGAACTCAGGAGTACGTAAGTACTATCACTGCCTGCATGATTAGAATAGGGTTTTGGGGCCCATAATAATACTATGACGACAATAAGGAACCCCCAAAATAGTATAGGTAATTTTCTAGGCCCCTATAGTAGGCTTGAGGCTCGCCCTCTAACTAGTTGTACTTGGAGGTTCATGGGACTTAGTAAGTACAGTTATAAGTACCTTATTCGGGGTTATAAGTAAATTTACATATAGATGCCGTAAATTATATCCCTAGTTACTAAGTCCTGTGAACTCCCAAGTAGAGGCTCCAAGACTAGGCACGGCTGCCGGACGCCCCGCGTGCAGACAGCGATTTACTTCCGCCACCCTGTAAGTTAAAACCCAAATGTGCTACAAAGCGGTTGGGGGAAAGAACAACCTGTACAACCTCCCTTTGTTTACTAAACTGCATAACTTCTGAAACCGCACAAACATCTCTTAGAAGGCGTTGTGAAACTCTTATGGAACACCCGGCAAAGGGTACCACTGTTGGGATTTTGCTTCAGGGATGCGTGCCAAGTCACTACTTCCCTCCTCGGCGGGTGCGATAAACTCCTCGGCGTCTTGAAAAGAAGTGAACACTGTCACAGCCACGAACTCAACGAACAATGTCGAAGCCTCAAAGCTAGAGTAACGGTTTTGTCGAATTTGGACATACTAAAGTATAAAGACTACTGGACGACATGATGTGCACATTCCTGAAATAAGCGGTTGTTGGAGTGTCCGAAGTTATACAAAGCAAAACACCACGGAACATGGCCGTACTTCGTGTGTCACTCTGCATGAAGAGAAGCTGGTGCCGCAGGTGCGTGGCTCAAAATAGTTGTACGACTGACGGACAAAATCCTGCAATAGCTGGCGAGCTACATTCCTGACTATGGGTGACGCAGGGTACTAGCCTACCAACAGTGTTGTAGAATCCACAGTACACCCTACAGCAATCAGTTGAGCTAAACCCTAAAGCACCTGTACCATCCTCTACAACCTTACAGAACCCAGATGGGTGGTTGTCAAAATTATGGTCCCTTTTTGGGTAGTTCAAGCTTTAGGGCTTGAGAGGTGCCTGACAGGATCTCATATGGGTGGTTGTCAAAATTACGGTCTCGGCCAAACTCTCATACTCCAGTTCGCTGAAGCAAGCCACGAGCTTGCAAAGAATGCGATCGCCCGGTTCACACGGCCTGGGCATGGGGCATCCGAAATGAAGGGTAGAGCCAGAAGAGAGCGTAAATTTAGGGCTGCTTTTTTCGGCTTGTGCGTTTGCTTTCCTTTTTTGGATGAGGATCCTGGGGTTAAGGACTGTGGGCTCATAGGGATTCATATGACCTCTCAGTTCGAGTTCTGGAAGTAAGCCAGGAGTTTGCAAAATCCAAGAAAAAGGCAACGCCACAGCCATGGCGGATGATAGAAAAATCGTTAAAGCTTTTAAAAATCCTCGTGGCTGCACCACTGGTGTCAAGCGCTACCTACTTGACAGGCCATTCTCGACACGGAAACTTTGCTCGCTCCGCCTCTCTCCAAAGATGCTGACTGCACTTCTTATGGAACCCCTAAGGGAACCCTACTTCAGAGAATTTCGTAAGTGAGTTATGATCGGCTTCAGAGCTATTAAGTCGGCAACACCGACAGGGGTAGGTATGGCTCTGCTTGTGACGGAGCCTGGAAGTGCCCAGGAACCCATTCAGCCCATGCTATACCCATCCTACTAAGCTTTCAGATATACTTCTTAAGTTCGGGCTTTTGGGTTCTCTAGACGCGCCAAGCCGTCTCAAAACGCTGCGAAATTCTGGTCAGAGCTTGCTGTCCGAGGGTCAAGTAGCCTTTGGAGGGCTCCACAGCATCCTTGCCGGATGACTTAGGGTTTAGCATTTAGAGTTTTATTTCATGCAGGCCTTTTTCGTCTTCGCTATTGCGAGGTTGATTTAGAACTCTTCTTTGGTCGTGTTGGGCTTTGAAGGTCTGGGTTTAGGCTCTGTGTTCAGGGCATTGGTGTGCAGTTGTTTTGTTTTGTTTGGGCGGTACTGTCTGTAGCACTAAGGATTTTTGCGCCTATCTTATTGGACGTACTAAGTTTGTATTTCCAGCTTAGGTCTATCTTAGGTTGTCATTTTCATGGGGTGCCTGTTGAGTTGCTGAGGTGAGATTTCACTAGTTCTTCGGGGCTGTTCTAGACTAGGTCGCTTAACATCATGGTATCTTCGAGGAATGCAACTTCTACTCTTCACCTTGGGCAGCACCGAGCCTTTCAGTATTGCTGAGCACACGGGAAAATATCACGAGGACTGCAAGCCCTAGCCCTTAAACACCAGAATGCCCTGATCGCTAAAGCCCTCTAAAGGCTATTCTTCTGCTAGAGCTACAAATGACCTCTTCTTTTGTGTCTTCCTGTGCATGCTGCGCCGACTCTTCAATCATCGCCTCTCTTGATCATCCGCTTGTCATCTTCGCTCTAAGCCCGATTCCATGGCCATACGGCTCATCACCAAAACGGGCGACGTTTTCCTTTCTGAATGCCCTCCCACTCTCAAGTGGCATCATGGTGATGATTATGACGATCATCATCATCATCCGCCTGATCCTGATCCTCCTGATAGTCCTGATACTCCTGATCCTTCCTCATCTTCATCAGCATCACCAACCTCATCATCACCATCAATGTTGCCCGCCTCTTCGGTGCAATTGCTGTTTTCGCTCTTTCTTGTCTGCCTTTCTCCTTGAAGGTCTGCTATCGGATCGGGCTATGTGATTGACAAGCAAATTCCAGAAACGGCCCTTGATCCCCACTTGGATGCAGGCGGGCATGATCGAGGTAAGGCGGTTCAGGGTTTAGGGTCACGGGGTCGAAGCTCCAGAGTAACTACTTCAAAGCTTATACACTCACGAATCGGTATCAGGGTTTAGGGTTCCGGCAACATGACATCTACAGAAGTAGTACGTCCTTCTAGAATTCTGGTACAACCACCCCGAACCGCTAAACCAAAACCCCCAAAACCCTAAAAGCCCTCTATTCTAGAGCCCTTTTTGGACCCCCTCAAAGGGCCTTTCATAGGAGCCCCCATTGCACCAAACCCGGAACCCTAAGGCCCGGGCATAGGCTACGATGGCCACCAATTCTTTCACGTCAGAGTTGTCCACATGCTCCTTGGCTCTGCTTACCTTTGGTTAGTAGGGAATGGAAGAATGGTAGCAACAGTAGATATAATTGTACCCCATTCCTCCTTTGCCTACTAACCCAAGGTAAGTCTGGGAGGCAATGCGAGACCTGAACAACTACAATGCACATCTATTCGGGAACTCTAGGGAATCATCATTCTACTTCGTCATAGCCTTAAGAAATCACCCAAACTTAAAAAGTTTTCAACTCTGCAAACCAAAACGTATAAATCGAACGGTAACCTCCCTAAGTGAATTAATGGTAGTCTACCCTTTGAAGGTCCTTGCATAACGCAGCCGAGTCACTTGGCGATGTGAGGCTCCGTTTGCGGCCTGTGGCGCTTCCAGCTTCTGTGTGAAAGGGAACTTAGCAAAACAGGATTACAAGTGGGCATGATTACTAAATCCTCATCCCTTATATTTGGGTGTTGTAGAGGTCATGGTTTGCCGTGTAGGGTTAGGGGTGTAGGTTTCAGGGTCGAGCTCCAGGGCTTCAGGTGTAGCGTCCGACCACCGAAAGCTCAATGAAGGCGGTATTTCTTTGAGGACGCCCTTGAATCGCAGGCATTGAAACCCTAAGCCATAATCTCCGACAGCTCCAAGCTCTCATGCCCGGAACCCTAAATCCCTGAAGCCCCAACCTCTACCTGGAGGTTCATGGGACTTAGTAAGTACAGTTATAAGTACCTATCTGGGGTTATAAGTAAATATAAGTGTAGTTACCGTATTTTATAACCCTAGTTTACTAAGTCCCATGAACCTCCAAGTAAACCCTTCTGAAGGAGTTGTCATGGCCCACCGCCAGCTGCATGACTCACAGGGGAAGGCTGGGACGAGTCTTGCCCACAAGCAAGGTGGGAGGTTCCGAAAATGGGGGACCCTAATATAGTGCCCTAAAGAGTGGGATCCTTATTATAAGGACACCAAATAAGGTACCCCTAATTGTCGGAAACTCCCATAGTTTAGGGTCCTAATATAGTGCCCTAGAGAGCATTATAAGGACCCCCAAGTAAGGTACCCCTAATTGTCGGAAACTCCCATAGTTTAGGGTCCTAATATAGTGCCCTAGAGAGCATTATAAGGACCCCCAAGTAAGGTACTCCTAATTGTCGGAAACTCCCATAGTTTAGGGTCCTAATATAGTGCCCTAGAGAGCATTATAAGGACCCCCAAGTAAGGTACCCCTAATTGTCGGAAACTCCCATAGTTTAGGGTCCTAATATAGTGCCCTAGAGAGCATTATAAGGACCCCCAAGTAAGGTACTCCTAATTGTCGGAAACTCCCATAGTTTAGGATCCTAATGTAGTGCCCTAGAGAGCATTATAAGGACCCCCAAGTAAGGTACCCCTAATTGTCGGAAACTCCCATAGTTTAGGGTCCTAATATAGTGCCCTAGAGAGCATTATAAGGACCCCCAAGTAAGGTACCCCTAATTGTCGGAAACTCCCATAGTTTAGGGTCCTAATATAGTGCCCTAGAGAGCATTATAAGGACCCCAAGTAAGGTACCCCTAATTGTCGGAAACTCCCATAGTTTAGGGTCCTAATATAGTGCCCTAGAGAGCATTAGAAGGACCCCCAAGTAAGGTACCCCTAATTGTCGGAAACTCCCATAGTTTAGGGTCCTAATATAGTGCCCTAGAGAGCATTATAAGGACCCCCAAGTAAGGTACCCCTAATTGTCGGAAACTCTCAGGTAATGTACGGGGCCTTCACAAGTAAAGTGGGGCTCCAGGCTCCTTTAAAGGCTCTTATCGCAAGTTTTTTTTAAGGGTTTTGCTACTTTGTAGCGTTCACAATAAGAACAAGGGCTTTCGGGTATTTTCCTCTATAGTTCCGGAAAAGGAACACTCAGGAATAGCATTCATTCATTCAGGCGGTGCTAGGTCCAAGCGAGAACGTACCGCGTGCAAAATTGAATTCAAGATGTGAAACAAGCGATGAGCGCGACTTGCCCAAGCGTCAAGAGCCTGATTGTTTCAAGCCACTCGGCGAACAAGCCAGCGTGCTCACGCTGACAAGGAAAAGACAGCTGACAAGGGCGACCAAGACGTGCAAGGGAAAGGGCAAAGCCAACCCACGCAAAGAAAAGGTGCACCCAGGAGATATGCTGTCGAAGACTTCTGAGGGAGCAGGAGGCAGGCTCCCAAAAAGGGACAGAACCCGCAGGCGGCCGAGAAATCCACAGGGCGAGACCCGAAAAGTCCAAGCCCTCGGGAAGCCCCTGCCAGAAGTGCCTAGTTAAGACAGGTGGTAGTGCCCCAGCCATGGAAGGCATGCAAGCCAGCCCCTCAGCACCGGCATGCACAAACGGGCCCGCAAACCAGTCGGAGCACAGGGGCAGTGGCTCAAGTTGGGGAACAAACTCAGCAGCCTCCTCACCCCGGGACTTAGGCACGCGAGAGGCGGCGTCGCAATGCAAGTCCACTTGCATGCACAGAAGCACATCCTGCGCCCTTTGCAGAAGCGGGCCCTCATGAAGGCTAGTAATCCACTCGGTGAGGGTGTTACGCAAGACAGGAAAGGGTTCAAGCGTCGCCTTCACTTCGGCAAAGATGGCCTCGTCCGTGGCAAAAGAACCATGCTGGAGCCTCCGGAGAAGATCGACGCTGATCTCAGGTCTAACCGGCGGGAGGTGCGAGGTGCAGACCGCCCCAGTCGAAACGAGCTGAACGTGTCCTGCAGAGGAGGAGTCAACATCAAGCAAGGCAGGGCCACCTCTCTCAACAGCCTGACAACACCGGGGGTAGTTGATGAGATGGCGCTGATGTCGGAGAAGAGTGGCGAAACGTGCGCCACAAGCACGACAGCGAAAACCCGCAGCAAAACGGACCGCCTTAGAACGGAAGCGATGAGCTCGCACCGCATGAGCGGACCAGGAGTGACAGTTAAAGAAAGCGATACCGCACAACAGGCACGCATGTGATGCGACTTCCAGCTCAACGACAGGAGGCGGCATGGCGACCCAGGAATCCCTACAAAAAGCCTGGAAGATGGCGATGGCCTCGGCACGACCAACATGCCACGCTGTCGCACGTTTCAAGACACCTTTGCAGCGACGGGGCGCCGACAAAAAAGCATGCCAAGCAGGCCACCCAGTGTCAAGGTCAGCCAAGTCAGTGGTAGCGGAGCAAGCCTGCCTCAGCCAGTCCGCAGCCGACTGAAGCGCAGCAAGGGCACCCTTCGAATTTTGCATCAAAGCAAAAATCTCGTCAGGGCCCGATCGCACAGCCTGACTCAGGAAGCGGATTCGATCCGCAGAGACAACCCCAAGGAGACTGGGAAGCCCTACTGTCGCAAGGACTTTTTCAGCAGTCCAATTCTGCTCCGCATTCCGGGGTATACGCAGCATGCCTCGGAGCATCGTGAAATAGCAAGCTTCCAAGGGCTTCCACGCCGCAGCCGAGAGAAGCGGCCAAGCCCCACAGCCGGCCACCATGGCCGACAAAACATGGCTGCGGAAGAGGAGAACACGGCGGCGGAGCTGAATCCGAGGAGAACAAAAGACCGAAGCCTTGCCCTCCTTAAAAAGAGATTTAGCAAGACGAACACGCGCAGCAGCCTCCGGCACCAAAGAGCCGTTGAACGTCAAAACCGAGCCAAGATGACGATAGTGGGGCACAGCGTCTAGAGTAATCGTGGCAACGTGCTCGCACAAGACATCTATTTTGCCCTTCCGAGTTCCAAAGATAGATGCCCGCGCCTGCCTGGCCCCAGCTCCAGCCGGTGCGAGAATGGCCGACGTTTTGCGAGGTCCTATGTTTGGCCTGAGGCCGTGACTAAGAAGGGTGTCGAAGGAACAACCAGCCACATGAGCAACGGCTGAAGGCAACGCCCCTGGGGACTCCGCCACCACACAGGTCGCAAGATCGTCCGCATACACTATGTCTTGGATGGCCGTCTCTGTACCAACCTTCCGGGAGTCAAAGAGCATCGGGCGACGCTCCCCCGACCACCGCACACGCGGTTGGAGTCCATCAGCAGCAAAAGTGCCGCGCCGCTCTAGAACGCGGGCGAACAGCACGCTGAATAGCACGTCTGCCCATGACGAGCCTGGACGCGTACCTCGACGCGTTTTGACCACAGTGTGATCCTGGCTTATGATGAACCACGTGTCTGTGTGAAGCTCTTGGGCAATAGAGCGAAGGGTCTCGTCGGCCTCCTCAGCCCCCAAGACGGGGTCCGTAGACGCGTAGAAATGCAACGCCTGGAGGTCCCCCTGAGTTAAGACCTCAATAGGCGTGTTGTACGAGTCGCACCCTGTCAGGGTTTCTCGCACAATGGCGTAATACGCCGCAGCCAAATCACAAAACAGCACCCCGGCGGAATGGGTACGCCCCCGCATAACGTCAAGGAAAAGACGTGTGCAATAAAAGCCCATTGTGTGACTCTTGCCTGCACGCCCGCCAATCTGCATAGGCCCAGCAACCCGATCCAAATGCCTGACAACGATCGGCCGCAGAACCTTGTGTAAAACCTTGGCAAGGGCACCCTGAACCAGAATCCCCTCTCGGAAGAGCAGCTAGCGCGATCTCCAGCACCCGGCTTGGGGATGTGATGTAGAGTGCCGCCCTTACATCCTAACGGTTCAGCACGATAGCACAAAACTTTCATCACCAAGGGCCAGAAGAGCGCAGCAAGAGGGGTCGCAAAGGTCCTACAAAGGGCTGGGGGTACCCCGTCTGGTCCGACAGCCTTCCAGGGACTGACCCCAAGAGACACCGAACGAAGCTGGGCGAGGTCGGGAAGGCCTGAGCACACCAGCTCCTCCCTAGCAGGAAGCGAGGCCTGTCGTGCTTGACACTCCGCAGCCAGGGTGAATGGAGAAGCCTCAACCCCGCCTTCTAGCGCAGAGAAATGGTGTCGCCACGCGTCTTGAACCTGTGCAAATGTCTGGCATAGTGCGCCCTTGGGGTCCTTAAGGTTGGGTAGCGGTGACGGACCACCCCTACGGAACTTTCGGGGTCTAAGAAGGCGCTTAAGCGCTACCTGCGTCTCAGTAGCAGGAGCAGTTTCAACCGCATTGGCCAGGCCTTCAAGATACCGGCGCTTATCCTGGCGACACATGCGCCGGAGAGTGCGCCCGTCCAGGCCAATTTGTCGTACCAGCAGGGCAATGACAATACGCAACCGGTGTAGCCAAGTGCCGGAGAAGACCTCTAACAGGCACATGTCAGGCCGACGCCAGACTTGCCACACGCAGCGCAATAAGGCAAGCCGAAGCGCCGCCGCGCGGTTGCGCAGGGCATGACGCATCCTGGCAATCTGTTGATGTAACTGTCCAGTGTCCTCGGATAAAAAGGAAGCACGAAGACGCCGGGCCCGGAGCGGGA